AATACCTTCAGTTTGTTTTTTTCACATCCAGTTGTTCTACAATACTCTATCTGTTACTATCAAACCAGTGATATTAACATACAATACCAAGCAGCAAATGAGTACAAAGGTCGTAACTAGAAGAGATAATTGTTTGCTTTACTTCTTTATTTACTGTTTTATGTTTTAAGAAAAATCAGTTTAAGAACTTATTTCTAAATAGTAATAATCTGTATACATATATAATGTATGATAGTTGAAATGTGACTTTATTTTACAAAATACTAATCTACTAAAACAAAGCCAAGACAGGTCACTTTGTAAAGACTAAAGGTCAGTTTTATATTATTTGATACAGTAACAGGAGTGCACGTAACTTCTGTATTATTAGCCAGACACGAGTGAAAGATTAATATAATAAAGATAATAAGTATATATATAAATGTATAATGTTATGAGATTTAAGCTATTTAGTCTAAACATTTGTGTTTTCTTGTTATAATTTGTTTCATTCTAGTATGAAAAAGGCATAATTTATATTTATTTCCTTATTTTTATGGTGGTTATGAGATCTGTGAAATCGACCAAATCGACAGAGATTTGTTGTTGAAAATAACAGATAAATTATAAAGTTTTTCTTAAGAAACATTTGATAATTATCTGGACACTATAAAGAATTTGCATGTGAAATTTGAAAATTTTCTGTTGCATAAAAGTATTTTTAATCTTAAAATGAAAATTACTTTGCATGATAGATAAGCAACGTGTGAAAAGAAAAAAAAGGCATGAGAAATACATTGCTTTACAAACCTTAAGACTTAATAAAAAAATTTATATATTGTGTATGCAACCATTGTAATGTTTACTGATAATGTGCCAAATTTCGTTAGCATATGCTTACTAATTTTAAAGTTAAAACATTAAAACTATAACAAGCACAAAATGGTTATGAGGTCGGTCCTAGTGTCTGAGCTTATGCTGAAAGAGTTAAGAGTCAGAGAGCCACTTCCCCCACCCCAGTTGTTGGAAATTGGTGATGATAGCTTCCATCATGCCCATAATTCCACAAAAGCATTTTTAAACCATTTGATGGTGACATAGCCGTTTTTACGGATTTACATCTATATTTTGTATTTTCACCTGACTTCAGCCATTTCCTACAAATAATATGCTCAGTATTTAGCATCAAGTACCCAAACCCTGAGTTGTACGTCCATCATCAATGGCTTTTGGTTTATGATGCAACTTTAAATGCCATGTGCTTGCTTGATGACTATCTGAATTTTTATGAAAAGTTTTTGTCAGATTCTGATAAACAGTTGTATAAAGAATTCATTGATGATATTTTTATCAAGGGAAAATTGGAGAATTATTAGAAAACTCGTGTCTAAAACAACAAAGAAGAAATTAATTAGACTGGAAAAGACAGAAAGAAACAAATTATCAAGAAGCTGTTTCATCAGCAAAGGAAATCTGCATTCATTATGAGGATTTATTCATCTGTACTACCCTTGCTGAAGAAATGTGTAATGGTTTCTCAAGCCAAGGTGCTGATACTAGATAGCTTGCATGATGAACAATGTTAGCTGTTGCTTACTTTTCTGACTTATTTTGTAAAATAGGAAAAGCCCAGTGGATGCTCTAACAAGTAACTCTCAAAACTTGAACTATCTAATAATTAATGAAGAAAACTACCTACCATTGAGGAACTTGTTCATTGTAAAAGTGGCACAAAGTCTGTTGGAAATTTACCCCAGCTACAAGATTTTAGTTGATATGATATCCACTGTGAAGAAAGCTTATATCTTGTTTTTCCCAAACAAGAAATGATGCCTTTGAACAATTAATTTTTAAAAATGTTGCTGCTTTTGCTCTTGTCATGCTGCAGCATACTGAGACTTTCATCTGCCTTAACTCTATCGCCAGGTATCCTTTACTGTGCATGACACAAGGTTTTTGTGTCTTACATTCAAAATGTTATTAAACTACTTTTTGTTTATGTTATACCACTTAGTATAGCACAAAATCTAATCCAATAATCCATATTTTAATGGTATATATGTTTTAAGTTCTTAATTTTATAAGGCAATATTTAAAAAAAATTCTGAATTTCCCCAACTATGACACACATGACACATTTTCTTTAGGTATCTTCTCTATTTTGTCCACCACTCCCCTAGTAACTATGAAATTAAACATAAATTAGTCATTATAAAATTGTCATTGCTCAGACAAACCATAATTTTTATAGTCTTCAATTTTGTTTGGTTACAGATCTGTCAAATAGAAAATTGGACCCCTCCTTCCAGACCTACTTGTCACAACCTCTCTTTCAGGATTTGTTAATAGTTCTCTCCTACGTTTAATTCTATATTACCTATAACCAGTAGAAAGCCAAGGTTTTCATCTATCAAATGACCTATTATAATACCTTGTGTTCTGAACAGATAATTGCCAATTTCACTTGCAATACAACTTTGGTTTCTATGGGAATCACCGTGGCTAGCTT